AAGCCATATATTTCTAATATTGCTCGTTCTTGATTAATGTTATCATGTTCATTTCATTTGGTCTTTCAGTGGTGCTTATTTACGACCAATAACAATTATCAACTCGATTTGCAATCTCATCTCCTCCGTGCCTTATCATTTCTTAACAAATGCGTTCAGACGAATGAGCAAAACGTACTTTTTGGAGAAGAGGACAGCGGTGCAGAGTACTCACTAGTCATAGATGAGCATGATTCTAATGAACCTTTCCGAGTGAGATCACTCACGTTGATCTCAGTGATGTTAGAATCGTTTGACGGTACGTTTCCGGAGGGATGCAGACCGGAGCCAACATGGCCGAACACATCTCTAGAGCTTTGAAGGCGTTCCCGGTCAATGTCGGCTCGACTTTCAGCAATCAGCTGGTCCAGCCATGCCGCACACCTATCGAACTCTCTTGAGCTAGCAGTGAACGACGACGGAGCAGCAATGCTTTCGAGTGAACTGACACAAGAACTTGAGCTAGAAAATTGCTCCAGTGAAGAGCCAATGGAACCAGAGGATTGTGAATCGAGCCGATTCGGAGAGGCACGAAAAGCATGGACAAATGATGATGATGATGACGGTTGTTCATTGAAAGTGCTGGTAGACGTAGATGGCTGAAAGGATCAACAAATATCGCTCGATTGAGGTGCTTTAGATAAGAAGATGCTTTAGAATCCATCTTAAATTCTGATCGATTTTAAGACTTCAAACAAAATCAAACAGCCAAAACAATGATTATCTCAACTGAGCAAGCATTCCTCATCCTGTCTTCATGTCTTCTTCTCAACTTCTTGAAACAAATTAAATCAATTGCAATAATTCTCCAGTACTCACCCAATTCTTTTGTGACGAACAATCTCTTGGAACATTTGGAAGATCATCAATGACAGAATTTGAGAAATTATTCGATGATAGTGTTGAACGGATTGGAGACACATTATAACCGTTATTAACACTGTCATTATTACAAGATGAATGGGAAAATGAAGGCGAAACGTTATGATTAAGTGAAGAGTAAGCAGGAGAAGAATATGAAGAATTCTGATTTCGAGCGGTTGATTCAACAATACATCCTGATGACTGCTGATGTGACCACGTTGCTGGCGTTTCAAATGTTTGCTCACTATTGATGAACACATTCTGTGATTTGTGTGGCACCCTGGAAACAGATACAAAATATACGCTCAACTTCATTCTCAAACGGAATCGGATGATTACTCATTTGCTCATTTGCAAGAATGGAATACTGATTAAGTCCAAATTCCATTCGAAAAAATGCCAGTTGAAAAAAGTTATCAGAGCGATATTAAATTATTCAATGATCAAACGAGTAATGATTCATCATTAAAATTATGATTTATCATTAAAATTATGATTTATCAATACATTTCGTTCATTTCGTCAAATTTTTTGTTTGAACAAAATTGTCAGCATCAAAGAATCGAGAAAACGCACAGTTTCACAGCACGTGAGGCTGACAATCGAGCATTCACATCCGCTGCCAACAAAACACTTTTCGAGGCCGACTGACATGATCTGAAACTATTCAGGAATAGAATATTACTAGGATTAAAGCATGATCCACTTATTACTATGTCAAAAATCCACTGATCAGTCACATGTACGAATGTCATCGACAAATTCTAATGCATGCGCAGCACATGAAACTATCAATCATGCACGCACTTCAATATGTTTAGAGCCACAAAATTTCGTTAATTGCATCCATCTTGCCAGACTATACACAAACCATTAACTAAGGGGGTTGTTCAACCCAGAGCTCAATCTAATTTTACTCTGCGACTGAGACTCGTCTCGGATTTAAATTGAAGCATGAGACGCAGAAGTGAGGGTCATCCATAGTTTTTAGTGACGTTCTATTCATGAATACGCCAACTACAGACTTGCTTCATGCTTTTTGAGTTATCAAGCGGTGTTTTTATGGTCAACTTTTTAAGCTTTTTTATTCATTCGATATCAAGTCTTTTCATTAGTCAAGGTTAAAAATGCTATCGTCCCATAGAAAAATAACTTTTCAAAAGCGGAATTCTGAAAACCTCCATTGCAAGTTCAGTATTTGAATACGGTAACTTCCGTGCTCATTATCCAACTACTCTTAAGATTGTATTGTTGTGGAAGTTTTGCAGAGAGGTCGGTCTGCTTGGAACAATGAGAGGGAGAGTATATGGACATTCAAACTGGACTGACGACGACCACAAGAACTGAAAACATGCCTTGGAGGATGCGAGAAGTCGCTGTCGTGAGGCACAGTTTTCACGCGACTCGAGGCAACCGCAATTGGTCGCTTCAGACTGCTGCAATCAGGTTAACACTTCAGTTAACGAAAATTATCAATGGCATTAACTTGTTCTCCAAACCGATAATTTTCTGCTTTATGAGATGTTCAGGACATCTTTCATATGGAGCGATTATTGAATGAGTGGAGTTGATTGGAGATTCCCAGAAATGAATCTAACGCCAACCTACCTGCATAAAACAACACTCGGGCTCGGCACATAGGCTGGTGGCGGATGGTTGGTAGTCGCCCTGTTTAATAAAGCACTGTACGGATTGGCCCGCTCGTTTAAAGCACTGTACGGATTGGCCCGTTGGTGTAAAGGAACACCACTCGTCACCGGCGTTCGCGGTGCAACAATAAACCAACTGTGCGGCCGAGGTGGATCGGCAACGAACACGGCACGGGGAGGCCTAAAATCGGCTTGTTTCAATGATTATCATGAACGATTCAATGTCGATCGAAAGGTCAAAAAAATTAAAGTTTAAAGTCAACAGAAGATAAATTTAGACATCTTAATGCTTATGTTATTATTAATAAACGAGTAAACAGCTTCACTAGCGCTTTTGCCGTTATTATCATTATAGTTACACATAATCATCAGTTTACTGGATGTTTATAAGATACCAGTGGCACGGTCTCGACGCATTGGTCTGGCCAAACACTTGATTCAGATTGCGTTGTTAGAGTAGAGAATTGTTGTTGTTGTTGTGACTGTCGTTGCACACCACCACCTTCAGGTATCGTGCCATCGAATAGAATTTCTTCGAAGTACTAAAACTCAGGCGACCATTTCCACTTCATTCTTCAAAATAACCAGAAAATAAATGAAGCAAACGAAAAAAAGCAAACAGAGAATCACTGATGCTTCCACAATGAATATACCATGTTTTGAGATCTAAAATTTCGCAAGAAAAAATCAAATTGGTGAATGAATACGCTTTCTAACTTCAGCTTGGTCTTGATCTGGTCCATCGAATATGGTGAATGCTTGCGAACAGTCGAATGTTTCATCAGCGAAGCTAGTGTTGTCGGACATTTTTGAATGTTCTGCTACCGAATTGATGATATATTATCAAGTTGAGTTTTCAGAATGAAGCAACGAACGAATGCAGGATGCGAGTGGTTTTCACTTCAGGAGTTTTAGATTCGGGTTTATTGACCTAAAATCATCAACTGACTGCAATCATCAACTTTATGAGTAAATTCTTACAATTGATCCTAAGACATCAACAAATCGTGTAAACTTGAATTGACGAGCGAAGACTTAATCAATCCTGAGATCTGGAGAAACCAGTAACGCTGTATGAAGAAATATGCGTGCTTCACTGAACATAATCAAATGGGAATGATAACCAATTACAGTATACATCAAGTTATCAACACACAACATCTTATCAGAGCGTTTATTATATTGCCAATACTCATAACTGCTTGAAGTGCTCGCAATAACTAGGTATTAAATAATTGTGTGCAATGAAGAAGTATAAAGTATAATTATCTTTGATATGTATCTTCCTAAACATCAACTATTTGTCTAGCTACTACAAAGTATCAGTATTTACAAGTGACACATTCATCAGTCCAATTCAATTTTCTCCGGTATTTACGGCTAACAATGACCATAGATCGACCACCAAAACAATTCCTTGATAACGATAATAACTGTTAACTCATTACTTGATACCATTATCATTCCCAGTATGCACTCGTTCATAAAGGAGGAAAAAAGAGTACTTTACAGTGGTTATCATAGGGTTGTTATCAAGGAAAGCCTTCCTTGCAGAATTCTTTCACTCTTATCACGAAGACTGTTTACCCACGAAAATCATTTCATTCGGATTAGGCGAGCGAAACAGCAAATAAAGTCAATTCCCATCCGAATTTCCTTCTTTCTTCAGCAATTTTTTGCAGAACCATTCGAAAAAGGAATATTCAATTAACGATTCCGAAAGTATCGCTCCACAATCTCCAAAATCCAGACACTTTTTGCAGAAACAAGTTCACCAACAGTCTCGCGGAAATTAATCCATCCTTTAAACCGAAATCTTTTTTGGCTGAACTCAAGATCAAATTCGAAATCATCAATCCATCGCAGTGATTGCTAACAACAGCGGAGAAATAACCAGCTCAAGATTAGGGGCTAAACAATGAGAGGCTACCTTTTTATTGATGAGACACAAACGGTAAAAAAAATATGGGAAAAAGTGATGAAGAGTTGGCTGTCAAAAAAGGGCAAAAAGCTTTGAGGCTGTATGAAAGCTGTAAAAACTAATATGGCATTACAAAAACTTCATATATGCTGCACAAGTGGATGCTGAAAATTGTGCTTAATTTATGCAGTTGAATCCGAAGAAATTCGTACGAATAAACACTTGCGAATTCCATCTATCCTGTAAATTCCAAAATTCACCAACAACTGTCATAGCTGTTAAGTGATAAAACTTATGATTTCGGATGAAGAAAACGACGGACGATTCAGTTGGACGCTTTCATGGAACTGAGCACGATCGAGAATGCAATAGCACTGATGAATGTTGATAAAAATGCTGATTGATAATAGAGAATGCAAAAAATTGAATAGTGATAAATTTGGTAATAAAAACTGAATGTTGATAAATGATAAAGCAAACTGTAACAGAGCAAACATCATAGAGTTGACCGTGAGAATAATGGATTGTCACATATTATATGACATCACCAGTTCATCAACCTGCGATGCATATCACATGCACACAGCACACTCCAAATCGTGCTTTTCATTAGCATTTTGAAGTTTTGATTACTTACCTCTGAACGAATGCGGAGTTGTGCTTATTGGTTCATGTGAAAATCAAGTCTCTAGCAATTCAATCTACCAGCTAATAAATACAGAATGATCAATTTTTATGGGCCAATGAATCAGATATTGATCAGTGAAAGTCTGAAGAGTTTAATAGTAAATGAATGAATCAGTCTGATTTTCCAAATTCCAATGAATCAGTCTGAGTTTCCAAATTGCTTAACACGATAAGAAAAACAACAAACAAACCACAAATCTTCTAGATATGGCCTGAATGATAACTTCAAAAAGAAAGGTAACGTCGTCTCAGGTGGTATACATGCGAAATACATATACGTATGCAGTGCTCATGTACGCAATGCATGTGTATATATGAATTGATGGAATGACGAGAAATATCGTCATGGAATAGGCACATACGTGTGCCGTAGTAGAACAGGATTATCATATTGCATGATAGAATTCACAATACGACATTTCATCGCACCAACATTCAATGTTCAATCATCAATACTTGATTACTGGAGGAGTCAAGTCCTAGTTCAAATATGACTTCAGAGTTATAGTCATAAGCTGACTGACTATAACTTCTTGGCTGAGGCGTAGGCTCAGGATCAGATGACTGATAGAATAACGAAAAGCGCATGATCAAGATGTATTTGAGTGATAGAAATGTGGTACTTTTTGTGAATATTACAACAAAGTGAAAAATAGAAACAGAGGTTTATGTTAAAAGTAACTGGAAATAGAATTTGATAGAAAATATGCAATGGAAAAAGTCATTTCTGACAGGAACGAATTTCGATTCGTTGTCATATATTCAATTCGTTCCAATGAATATTCCTTCATTGACGCATTTCCCCACCGAAATGTCACATCAAATTTATTCACGATTGCGGTCGATCTACAAGACATCGTCATCAAAATAAACGAGTGTCAGAACAAATTCAGAATGAAAAATGTGCGTCAGAACGATGCAAGACTGAAGGGGAAAAACGGCGATAAAGATCTTGAAAACAATTCAGCGATATCATTGCTGCAAATGAATGGAAAACAGAATCAATGAAAAAAATGGACGAAGTCCAAACGCAAAAAAATCAGTCATATGATTGAATGATCAGTTTGATGATAGGAATGGAAAAGAATTGTTTGAAAAACTCATCCAGAGTTTCGCCTAGCAAATTTTTCAGAACACGAGATTGGAATTTTTTCATCCGACAGAAAAACTTCTGAAGCGGTCGTATGATCAACTCGTATTGCGATGGAATTCAACTGCACTTTAAACGTGATAATAATAATACAAAAGACAAATATGACTCAGGAAAAAAACTTAAAATTCGATATGAATGACTGATAAAACCAATTGAATTGAGAAAAAAGTGGTCACAAAATTCGCTCGTCCCTCTCCCCGCCCAAAAAATAAAATAAACCAAAAGGAACAATAAATGAATTGGAAATATGTTTTTGGAATGAATCACAGTTCGATACTTTTACGGTTATAATATGACAGCTAAAACGATTAACAGTAATTTTTCATTAACATTTTTCGATCCGTTGTCTTATCTACCGAAGAGCTGTCTCAAATGTCCTAAAAATCAAA